AGACCTCGTGCGTCTCGCGATCAACGAACTACTTTCATTCACGGACGTTCACCATTTTGTTCGCCACGTTGTTCGTATCGGATCAATCGAGTTACGTAAAGCGACGGCAGACCGGATTATTGATTTCGTTCGATTCAATCGTTAGAATACAGGAAACAATTGTGTTGCGACACCTTGATAGTAAATTGGCCTCCTCCCGCCCCTATCATTTGAATCGTGGAAACTGTAATGTACAGAAGGTTATATTCGTGAGTGCAACCTGAGATAATGGGGAGCCTAGAATGGCAGAGTTGAGAAGACACTTTTTATTTATTCAAAGAAGAAACAATTTTTATTTATTAAAATTTACCAAAATCGAGGAATTTCAATAAGTTGTAAATTTTTGATATCTAAGGAGTACTGTATTTTCTAATTAGAGATGAGAGAATTCAAGATTTGTTACAAGATTGCACAAGTTTCTGTTAATGAAATTTGTTAAATTTCTCTTATTTTGAGCAATTATGTTTCGATTTGTTTTTTGATTATTTTTTGAACTTTAGCCTTTGGAATTTTAAGTATTTATAGATGGAGGATTGACTATAATATGATAATAAATATTATTCTTATTGTGTACATTGATTAATAGATATTTATTAACGTTTATATTCTTCAGTGTTAATCATGTATTATTTATAACAGTATCGATTGATATTAGTCATAGTCATAACATTGTTGCTCAATTTTAATAATAGTGCATAAGTTATATATTGATATTGATCTAAATTAATTATAGTAACTATACATTAATATTGATCAATTTTAATAATATGTTGATTGATGTTAATTATGTATTAATTACAACAGTGTGATGTAAATATTGATTAACATTAATTATTGTGTGTTTCTATAGCATTTGTAATGAAAGCCTGTAAAGGACCTAAAAAGGTTTTGATGAATGAGAAATAAAATTTTATATAAATTAGAGAGTAATTACTAATAATTAGTAATATTATTTCAAAAAACGTGACAATTAATGTTTACTACTGCTTTTGTTATTAGAATTTGATAATTTAAATATTTGAAATTTTCGGAATTTAAAAATGTGCAAATTTAAAAATTTGAGAAATTTAAAAATTAAAGAATTTAAGAATTACAAAGTTTTTAAATATGAAAAGTTGAGATTTTGAAATTTATAACCAAGAACGTATCCTAATCCCTATTTGATAAGATATTATTATTAAAATTGATAAGGTGTTCAACTAATATGTTATTTGTTAGAAAATAAGAATTGTTCCTCTTATTTCATTACAATATGCATGAAATGAGTTTCTTCTCAAATTTTCCAAACAACAGCCTATTTAAAACCTTTTAAGCGATTCACTCACGTTGTTTTCCATACGCTTAAATACTCTTCATAGTTGTCGCTTAATGGTTGCTTTATTACATCCATCAAGCTTCTTCCGCTTTTTTCTATGATCGATAATAGTGTTTGTCAACTTTTATACAGAGCGTTTCAAAATATTAATCAATGAGTCGGCATATATTTAAGTCAAAGTTAATGCAAGTTTGGTATTTAAATCAATGTTAAATTGGTATGCTTTGAATTTAACTTAAAATACGAATTTGAGTTAACATAGTAATTTAAGTTGAAATACTAATTTGAGTTAAAATATTAATTTAAGTTAAAATACAAATTTAAGTTAAAATATTAATTTAAGTTAAAATACTAGTTTAAGTTAAAATACTAATTTAAGTTAAATCATTAATTTAAGTTGAAATACCAATTTAAGTTACAATCCCAATTTAAGTTAAAACATTAACTTAAGTCAAAATACAAATTTAAGTTGAAACTCTAATTCATCTTAAAATACCAAATTAATTTAAAGTACTTTAACTTAAAACACCAATTTATTTTAAAATACCAATTTAAGTTAATTTCCATCGCTACTAAAATTGATGTCTTCTAAACTAATGACTTTTCACCACAAGGGACGTAACTACTTTTGTGAAAAGAATAACGAGGTGCACAAATGGTGTAACAAATAAATTCAATTTAAAAAGTGAACTTATTTACATTTTCTCTACGTGACCATAAAGAAGGCACCATCATCACTAAGTTTCCTCCTCCATAAAATCATGTAACTTTTATCCAAACCATTTGTGTATATCATCGATATTTTCGAAGATGTTTGCATTAGTCGATTTAAATTAAACAACCTATTACATAAATTATATAAATTATACAAATATGTAATTATCTATAATCTAATGTTCAAACATGAAATTATTATTATGAAATGATGAAACTCTAGAGGTACATCTCATAAACGATCGTAAATCTCTCGAAAGTCTTTTTCAAGATCTGCAAAAAATACTAAAATCGATCGAGCAGCGAATTCGCGATTCGTTGTTCATCAGTTTCCATATTTTTCTCAGCGAAGGATTTGCAGGTTAGGAATTCCGAGCGCAATCGTCAATAAATCAGTCACCAATTTTCAGCTCGAAAAAATAAAGAGTCTCGGCGAGCCAGCTCGTGATTTACGACCGCTATATAGCCGTCCCGGGGTGTGGTCTGACTTGCATTAGAGAATGAGTCTCGAAATAGTCCCGGACGCGGAATATATCCCTAGAAATATTAGGCAATAACCCCATAACGATTTTTACGTCAATGATTCGAACAAACGTCACACATTTTCTCGAGCATTGAGTAATCGTTCTCTTAATCTTCCTATTCTTTCTCGGACTTGCGATTAGGTACACGTTGCACGTAGATGGTCTCCTTTTTCTGCTCCTCGTGTTTCAACTTTTTTCCCCTCGAACCTTTCGAATGAAATTACACGTCGATTGGAAGTGATCCTTTCGCAATCACAAGAGCACAGTTTTCCTCGGGCGTCCATTTAGAATTCATCGGGACAAAAGTTTGCGGCAGAGTTGCTTGAACCGACGAATATAGATATTGCATGTTCGCCAGGAATTCCTTCTAGAATTTGGCAGAGTTGATATTCGCGATAAAAGCTGCCGCGATTTAAAAGAGTTCTACATTGCAGACTCTACTTTCTTCGCCATTTTGTTTGCTCTCGAGGGTGACGACGTTTCATCCGCGTCACGAGCCATATTATTACAGGCTGTCACAAAAATCGTGGTGCGAATAACCGGATTATGATTCTACAAAAATAAGATCAGAAAATAGCGTAATATCTTTGAGTATTCCACTTCGTTTTTACAAATGGTGGATTTGGATGCTTTTTCGGAAGATTGGAAGAAAATTTACTTGCGGAAGATTTGGGTACCACAACAATTAATTAACGTTTTTAATAAATGCAATTAATAATACTTCAAATTATGTTGTTACGTTTTCATGATATTACTGCTTATGTGTATTTATCATACTTTTAGTTCAATTTCTATATTAATACTTCAATAATATTTTGAAGAATGATTGATAAAATATTTTAACTATATTTATTTTTTTTAACAATTTTAATAACTTAAATATGTATACTTATTGATGTAGATAATTCATTAATTACTATATTTAAATTTGAAAATTTTGTGATTAGGAACTTTTGAGCTTCAAAATTTGGAGACCAGGAACGTGTAAATTTAAAAATTTAAAATTTGGAAATTCAGAGAGTTGTAATTTTAGAAATTGGTGATTCGCAGAATTGAGTATTTGGGTAGTTTATTAATTTAAACATTTGCATATTCAAAAATTAAGAATACTTGGAAATTACAGACTTTCTGGATTTGAAAATTTTAAGAGTTCGAATTAGTGATTTGCAAACTTGAAAATTAAAAAATTAGAAAATTTCATCCTCTGAAAATTTGAACATTTAGAAGTTTAATAATTCATCAAATTCACAACTGTAAATATAAAAAACGGGATCTTCTAAATTAAAAAATTTGAAGACTTAAATATGTAGCAGGTGAAATTTATGAGGTTACAAATTTAGAACCTGGGAATGTAAAAATTAACCAAAGGAATCTGATAATGCTTTGATGCAAAAATTGATGGAATTTAGTAACTGACTAAGGTATAAATCAATACCAAGGGAGTGGTACAAATCGTAGTACCCTTCCCGTTCTATCAGCGACTCAACAGTAACCTCTCGAAGCCACGTGCCTGATGTACCAAAAGAATTTGATTCAGAAATTGCTAAAAATATAAACTACAGAAATGTAAGAAAGAAATATAACTGAACAATTGAATAACTAACTTATAAACTCATGCAAAGCACCAGGGGGCAGTAAAATTCGAACCGCTCCTGTTCCTCTGCCAGCGATGTTTAAGCAGCGATCCCGCGAAGACACGCGCCTCTAAACCGCCACTCTGACCTTTCTCCGTGGTTGCTCCACGCGCTACTTGCTAAAAAAAATATTTTCAACATCCTCGCATCGACGAAGAAGAAGAAGACCCATTCGACGTCGTGTCGTTCCGTTTCCAACATCCCTGAAACACGATCGTCGAACTGGGCCGAGAGGCTCTTACGAAAACACGCGCGTCGCGACGCGTCTCTCGGGCAGCGTTAAAAAGCGTCTCGCATCGCGTTAGTCGCTGTCGATCGTTATAAACAAATCGTCAAGGCGGGGACTATCGTACTATGAGATACGCGACGGCTGCACGCAGACGTGGCTCGCCAGAAAGCGGCGTCGGTATTTGGCAAACGATGACAGCGTCGTCGACACCACCTCCGGCTGGTCTGTGCTCCCAGGAACCCTAGACCGAAGTCTCTACGTCTTCCTCGGTCTGTTCCATCATCTTCTTCTTCGTCTTCTCTCTGGCCGTCGTCATCCTCTTCTTTCGCCCGAGCCCGATGGTACCTCTCGCTCCCCTTTTCTGTCTTTCGCATTCGCTGCTCTCTTCGCGTAAGAGAGGCACGGAGAGAAGAGAAGGGGCAAAGACGCTTTTAGACACGGAGCGTCCACGAGCGTCGCGACGCCTTGAGAAGCAGTAGTCGCGTACCTTAGGCAGCTTCCACCTTGCCGGCTCGGCTCGCGGCCGTACGTAACGTGATTCTTCTCGACGTCTGCTCGAAACATCCCCGCGATCGTGTTTCTTTCTCTCCACTTTCTCTCCACCATCCTCTTCTGGAGACAAGGTCACGTAGGACGAACTACGGGGACAAGGACGATCCAGTGGTTCTCGCGTCTCTTCGACTCCGCAACGTGCACCAGCCTCTTTCTGGGTCAACATTCGAAACATCCGAGCAAAGTTCGGATAAGAGCATCGTTGTCATGATGTAGAATGCGCGAGGATCATCCGGGGAGAGAGCATGTCGCGGTGAGATCCAACGGGAGGTGTAGAAAAAGGACACAGTGGCCGGCTGAATTTCGCTGGGATCTGCAAAGTCTAAATTAATCTGGAGCCTCGTTGTTGTTGAAGTTTCGAACGCGGGCCTGCTGCTAGTCGGCGTAAAAAGAGCGTACGCGGAATAAAACTTTCGTACGAGGAATAAAAATAAGCGTGATACGGAGAACCGAGGGAGTCGGATCAGTTTCTGGTCCGGGGTGGTTACGTATCGCACTAGAAGAAACCGGTGATATACTCGAAACCAACAAGTGGTCACTCGACATTTTATATCAAAAACACTCGTAACACTCCTATCTAGGATAACACGGTTCTCGTATCCGTATTAGCGTGATTACGCTTTCTTCTAAGCACAACGTATCATTCCGTTCAGGTGAATATTCTTGCATCTTCGATTTTTCGATGAATTCGTTGACCTAAATTGTTCTCCCGACTACGTGCGTCGTACCGAAACTCTACAGTCATAGTTCGTCGTTATTAACAAAATATAGTTCCTCCAGAGTCGATAGTGTCAGTGCAGTGTCAAAGTTTGAATAGGATCCGAGTGTTTGATCGAGCAATAGCGTGTTTGAGTGTGGATGACATCGCGAGTGAATCTTCCGCAAGGTGTCCGGGAATGACATAAGTGGACGACTGTCCGAGTCGTCGATCGCCGATCGTGTTCACAGAGTAAAAACAATTGCACGAAAGTGGTTCGCGTGGCGAAGAAGGAGAAGGACGCGACGATGGCGGAGCGTCCTGGAAGTAGGAGACGTTCTCGTCGCGACAGCGTTGAAACGGGGGGGTCTATACGTGGCACGCCGCCTGCGTCGAAGGATCGAAGGACGAAACGATCGAGCAAACCGTCGAAGGAACGATGGTTGCTGACGAGAAAAACCTGGCGTTACATGGCGGACGCCGGGAGACGTTTGATCCCCGATGGAACGCATGGAGACAAGGTCACGTAGGACGAACTACGGGGACAAGGACGATCCAGTGGTTCTCGCGTCTCTTCGACTCCGCAACGTGCACCAGCCTCTTTCTGGGTCAACATTCGAAACATCCGAGCAAAGTTCGGATAAGAGCATCGTTGTCATGATGTAGAATGCGCGAGGATCATCCGGGGAGAGAGCATGTCGCGGTGAGATCCAACGGGAGGTGTAGAAAAAGGACACAGTGGCCGGCTGAATTTCGCTGGGATCTGCAAAGTCTAAATTAATCTGGAGCCTCGTTGTTGTTGAAGTTTCGAACGCGGGCCTGCTGCTAGTCGGCGTAAAAAGAGCGTACGCGGAATAAAACTTTCGTACGAGGAATAAAAATAAGCGTGATACGGAGAACCGAGGGAGTCGGATCAGTTTCTGGTCCGGGGTGGTTACGTATCGCACTAGAAGAAACCGGTGATATACTCGAAACCAACAAGTGGTCACTCGACATTTTATATCAAAAACACTCGTAACACTCCTATCTAGGATAACACGGTTCTCGTATCCGTATTAGCGTGATTACGCTTTCTTCTAAGCACAACGTATCATTCCGTTCAGGTGAATATTCTTGCATCTTCGATTTTTCGATGAATTCGTTGACCTAAATTGTTCTCCCGACTACGTGCGTCGTACCGAAACTCTACAGTCATAGTTCGTCGTTATTAACAAAATATAGTTCCTCCAGAGTCGATAGTGTCAGTGCAGTGTCAAAGTTTGAATAGGATCCGAGTGTTTGATCGAGCAATAGCGTGTTTGAGTGTGGATGACATCGCGAGTGAATCTTCCGCAAGGTGTCCGGGAATGACATAAGTGGACGACTGTCCGAGTCGTCGATCGCCGATCGTGTTCACAGAGTAAAAACAATTGCACGAAAGTGGTTCGCGTGGCGAAGAAGGAGAAGGACGCGACGATGGCGGAGCGTCCTGGAAGTAGGAGACGTTCTCGTCGCGACAGCGTTGAAACGGGGGGGTCTATACGTGGCACGCCGCCTGCGTCGAAGGATCGAAGGACGAAACGATCGAGCAAACCGTCGAAGGAACGATGGTTGCTGACGAGAAAAACCTGGCGTTACATGGCGGACGCCGGGAGACGTTTGATCCCCGATGGAACGCACAATAGGCCAGAGGATATACCAAAGATAGAGCAATACTTCCAGGAAGTATGTCAAAAGGAACCGAGGTTCCTGCTCTGGCGAAAGGCTTCCTATCCCGGTACCTTGGGTTTCCGGTCACAGAGACGCCGGCGTCAAATCAAGGGCGGCAGCTGTCGAACTAAAGCCAGCTCCGCCGACGAAGCGGACGACATCAGAAATCCTCCTCAAGGTTTCGTCCTCCAAACCACTACGGCCGGCAAGTTCGACCTGGCCAAAGCTAAACGGGAATGGTTGCTGGCGTCCGAAGGTGGTAGCACACCTTCCAGCCCTGTGGAGCACAGAAAGTTCCAGCAGGAGGACGCCGAGACCAAAGCGCTGGCCGATATGTTACAGAAGTACCTGAACATGCAAAGTGACGTCGCTGGTACGACGAAATCGACCGGAAGGTCGGAGATCCCCGGTCAGTTCGAGGGGAAAGAACCCTTCGACTATAAGAGTCTAATAGACAAGCTTCAGCAACACCTAGATCTGATGGTTGCTCAGGCGAAACTTGAGGAGCTGTCGGTCCAACGAGCTTCCTCGGACAAGGACAAAGTTCCGAAGTCCATGCAACCGTACCAAGGGGACTACGTGCACAAATCGCTGATGGATACCATCAGTCGTTACTATAGTAAGTCCGCGACCAGGGAGCACGTGATCTCTGATATTCTGACCGACAGGAAGCTCCTGGAGAAGTTGTACTTCGATCTGAGGTGCACCAGGGGGTTCAGAGGACCACGTGCGACTGGTGCTTACACGTCGCCGTCTAATCGCTGGTGGACTCATCAGCGCACCAGAGTGCCGACCAAGGATTCCGAGGACTGGCTGTCGGTCAGAAGAGACCCCATCTCCCCGCCGCCCTTGATAGCCGTCCAGGAACCCAGTACCGATCGTGGCCCCATTGACGACGCTGTCCAAACGGACCCCGTGCCCCGCGAAGTTCTCGATGCTATTCTTCTAGAGAGAGAAAAGGAAGAGCCCAGGGAGATACCCGTGCAGAAACCCGGTGGTCGCAGGAGGAGCAGCGTGGACAACGACGACGTGTCACCCTCTGTCAGCGATACCATTAAGAGGTACCTCCGAATGGCCAGAAAGAAATCAATGGACGCTGACAAGGTGGACAGGTTCAAACGGGTGAACTACGATAGAAACCTGAGGAACATAAAGGCTAAAGGGGAGACCACGAAGCTGAGCGACGACGAGGGCAACAACAAGGGCTGTCAAACGGACGACAACTGGGTCGTTAATTACAGGGAGATGTCCTCCGCGGAGAATCCCTCCGAAAATCTGTCGGACGCCGACACGACCACGTCGCCACCCAGTAGAAACGCGAGCTCGAGGAGCAGCATCGATGCTGGCCTCGGATCCGAGGAACCACTAACACCCAAACACCATCATCAATCCTTCCTTTCCCATCTCCTGCACGGTTCCAACGCGCACAAGGATAAACCGCACTCGGCACCCGGTTCGCCGGCACTCACGTCATCGTCCACCAATTCCGCAGGTGGCACAGCGATGCAGAAGAGCAAATCCTCGAGCAGCGTGGTGCATCACGGCAGCCGATTGGTGGCCAAGAAGATATGGAAGTCCAGGAGCAAGAGCACCTCGAGGGCGTCCAATCAACCCTCCGTCTGGACACCTCAGGTGAGTGTTCTTTTTCATCGTTATTTAACACGTTCTTATGGCCATGTGGTTTCATGTCACGTGTTTGCATTAGCTATCAAACTTGGGGTAGTTTAAACACATATTCTATATGGCTCCAATTGTTCAAGTTTGCTCAACGTTCCTTGCTCATAATAACTTCGCGTAATGCGATGTGAGATCTTGGCGAGTAGCGTCAATTTGTTTAAACAATGAACACGAGTGTATCGAATAATACTGGACGTAAACAAAATGGCTCTTCTGTCATATGACTTAACATTTAGGTGCTCACATGTAGATCTTGCAAATCTTTGAAACAATCTTGAGATAATGTGAAAATTGACGTATTTCGATTGCGTGTACGATAAAATTATAAGTTGAAAAGTTTTGACAACCACTGTGCATTTGGTGCATTTTATTTACGCATTGTAAACGAAGCGAAAACAAATATCACGTGCTATACATAGAGTTTTGCTTTGCCAAAACGCGTCTACGAATAATCTACTTAAACCACCTGTCACCGCATAGCTGAAAGTGTCCACCTCATTATAAGAAAGAAAACGAATTAATGATGTTGCTATTAACATCTGGTGTGAAAATAGAGCGTTACTATAAATAACAATACTCCGTTACCTTGCTTTCTTAATAGCACTTGTAAATTAATTTTACTCGCTATCAGAATGCGGACCATTTAAACGAGTTCAAATGTCTTCGACATTTTACCTCCGTTCACTTTCTTCCTAAACAAATTTTTTTACACGCATCCGCGATTCTTTTAGCAGAGAGTTTATAGGCTCATTTCGTTTTTTGTTTTCATATTTCGAAAATGTAGAAGTTCAAGCTTTTCTTTTCTTTTGATTATTTTACTTGGTATTTCGCGCTGGCGCCAGTTATTAGCGACGCCATGTTGGTTTTAACAATTCGTATATTTTTCCGCTGTCAGTGTTTGTAAATTTTAGCCTCTTTCGAAACTTTGCATTTATTTTGTTTCTTGTTTTAGTCATTTATATCCTATGCTGGAGAAACTAAACATGAACAAAATTGTAATTCAAACATTTCAATTTTTACGAAAATGCTCGACAGATGTTTCGCAAATTCATAAATCGTGTTGTTTTAAATTTTACTACTTGAAAATTGGACAGAACAGTGTTGTACATAATGGTTAATAATTTATGAGATATTTAGTATTAAATTTTTGATTAAATTTATGTTTCATTCATTCAACATGTACACATAATATGTACACACTACCCTATTGTAAATAATACAACAAAAATAATGAAGAAGAATGAAAAATAATATTAAAGATTCGAAGCATATGAAGTATAATACGTATACAAAAAAAAAAAAATGAAAAGAAAATTTATTGAGGATTTGAACTTCACGACAGGGCAGAAACCTGCAAGTTGACCTTCGCACAGTTATCATACTAATGTCACAAGAAATTGAATCGAATTCAATATCTTCTCCATCGACGTTTCATAAAAATGATCAAATATGTCTCCTTATTTCCGTCCTAGTTTCAAAAGTTTGATCAAAATCGATGCACAGCGACGTCTGGCTAGTGTCCCCTAAATTTATTCTGCCACTTTATTTACCGTTGCATGCCCTCTTTAGTGATCCCAGTTTCGACAGCTGGTCTATTTTTCTTCGCTGTCTCGTCGATCACATTGTTTAATATCCGCGTGTGACCGAGTATTCGTGAGGCGCGAAAGAGGAGGCAAGTGCAACAAGAAGAAGAAAAAGAAGGTCGACCTTGTGACAAGCGATCTCGTTAAGCGGTAAGCGCGATAACCAATTTAGGGCCTCGGAATTTTGCCGGCGCCGCCAGAAATAGTCAGCCAACGGTGGTGTGTATAAACTATACTTAACCCCTGCTACTACTACTACTATGTACTCTAACACCGATATCTACTGCTACTCGCGTGTGGCCACACTCGCGTTTATCCACAATGCGTTCGCTATTTCGGCGTCTATAGTGACTTTCACACTTGATGTCACTGGGGAGGAATTTTCATGGGGTTCTTCTGGGTGAACTGTGCGTATTTGTGCGATGGAGGTGGCATGGAGGTGACAAGTTGGTGGCAACAATGGAGATACGTGACATTAGTGGAATGGTGAAGTGTGAGTGACATCGGATGTGAAGGGTGCAATAGGGTGTGTTTATAGTGTACAAGAATCTTTACTGCATGCTATTTACATTAATATTTGGACGTTGCAGTATAGTTACTCACATTAATATTCAGACGTTGCTGTATAGTTAACAAGATTAATATCTGGACGTTGCTGTATAGTTATCAAAATTAATATTCGGATGTTGTTGTATAGTTATCAAGATTAATATCTGGACGTTGCTGTATAGTTATCGAGATTAATATCTGGACGTTGCTGTATAGTAATTCACATTAATATCTGGTGACCGAGTATTCGTGAGGCGCGAAAGAGGAGGCAAGTGCAACAAGAAGAAGAAAAAGAAGGTCGACCTTGTGACAAGCGATCTCGTTAAGCGGTAAGCGCGATAACCAATTTAGGGCCTCGGAATTTTGCCGGCGCCGCCAGAAATAGTCAGCCAACGGTGGTGTGTATAAACTATACTTAACCCCTGCTACTACTACTACTATGTACTCTAACACCGATATCTACTGCTACTCGCGTGTGGCCACACTCGCGTTTATCCACAATGCGTTCGCTATTTCGGCGTCTATAGTGACTTTCACACTTGATGTCACTGGGGAGGAATTTTCATGGGGTTCTTCTGGGTGAACTGTGCGTATTTGTGCGATGGAGGTGGCATGGAGGTGACAAGTTGGTGGCAACAATGGAGATACGTGACATTAGTGGAATGGTGAAGTGTGAGTGACATCGGATGTGAAGGGTGCAATAGGGTGTGTTTATAGTGTACAAGAATCTTTACTGCATGCTATTTACATTAATATTTGGACGTTGCAGTATAGTTACTCACATTAATATTCAGACGTTGCTGTATAGTTAACAAGATTAATATCTGGACGTTGCTGTATAGTAATTCACATTAATATCTGGACGTAGCTCTGGACGTTGCTGTATAGTTATCAAGATTAATATTCGGATGTTACTGTATAGTTATCAAGATTAATATCTGGACGTTGCTGTATAGTTATCAAGATTAATATTCGGATGTTACTGTATAGTTATCAAGATTAATATCTGGACGTTGCTGTATAGTTATCAAGATTAATATTCGGATGTTACTGTATAGTTATCAAGATTAATATCTGGACGTTGCTGTATAGTTATCAAGATTAATATTCGGATGTTACTGTATAGTTATCAAGATTAATATCTGGACGTTGCTGTATAGTTATCAAGATTAATATTCGGATGTTACTGTATAGTTATCAAGATTAATATCTGGACGTTGCTGTATAGTTATCAAGATTAATATTCGGATGTTACTGTATAGTTATCAAGATTAATATCTGGACGTTGCTGTATAGTTATCAAGATTAATATTCGGATGTTACTGTATAGTTATTCACATTAATATCTGGACGTTGCTGTATAGTTATCGATATTAATATTCGGAGGTTGCTGTATAGTTTTTCGCATTAATATCCAGACGTTGCTGTATAGTCGTTTACATTAATGTCCAGACGTTGCTGTATAGTCGTTCACATTAATATCCAGACGTTGCTGTATAGTTCTTTACATTAATATCCAGACGTTGCTGTACAGTCGTTCACATTAAAATCCAAACATTGCTGTATAGTCGTTCACATTAAAATCCAAACGTTGCTGTATAGTCGTTCACATTAAAATCCAAACGTTGCTGTATAGTTATTGACATTAATATCGAGACGTTGCTGTATAGTCGTTTACATTAATATCCAGACGTTGCTGTATAGTTATTGATATTAATATCCAGGCATTGCTGTATAGTTACTCACATCAATATTCGGACGTTATTGTATAGCTACTCACATTAACCTCTTCCAGTACTTTGACGAGTCTGACTCGTGACGCACTTACTACTCAAATATAACAAACCTTACTCAAATTTTGAATACTCTTTAATTATAAATTTAGGTCCAACTATAAGTTGCAATATCAAAAATCCCCGAATATGAAATAGTTACAACATTTTAATTTTCTTTGGTTGTTTTAATGTTATAGCCTTCAATAGTTAGTCCGGACTAAAGTTTCTGATAAATAAATGGCACGGAAAGGGGTTAATATTCAGACGTTGTTGTATAGTTACTCACATTAATCTTCACGTATTTCAGTACTTCCGTGTAATTTTACAGCTATATTCATATTTTAAGGAAAGTCTATTAGCTATGGAAACGATTTATCATACTGCTTATTTTGCAAATACGTGACTCATCTTCTGTAGAGTGACATATGAACAACTTTTCTAGTATTTAGGCTATGACAATTCTACGTCGCGTTAATGGTCGGACATTTCGTAGAAGATGATTTTGGGAAAAAAGACAAGTTTTATTTGTATAGAAAAAAACAAGTAATATTTTGTTATAAACCCTTTTTGGAGAACCTCATATATTGGGTATATAAAAAGTAATTTTTGTTAAATATTCTACTTTCAGTTTCGTTGGAATTTATTATTTTTCTAATTTTTTGGTCTTATTCATCTTTGTGTGAAATGTCAGGGTTGCGGAGGTGGTTAGGTTAGGTTGTGAAACTTTTGTACAATTACAACAAATATTTCTGTATTACTCTCTATGTTTTGAATCATTCTAACAAAATTTGAAGGCACTTTTCCCATACTAGTTGTACATTTCTGTAATTTTTTTCAAAAGTTCCAAATATTCTTGTATAAAATATCGTCTACAGTAATTCATCAACGTCCTCACCGGAAATGCATCCCCAATTTCCTCCTCTATGTCTTAAAGTCTACGTCTTCATTTACTCTTCGTCGTATTATACTTTTCTTATCGGAACCAAACTTACAATATTTACTCTCGTCAGCGAAAATAATATTCTTTAATCTTGAGACTTTTCAACAA